AAAAACTAACGAGAATGTGATAAACATAGATACCATAGGCATATATACACGCAAATATGCCTGTAGATTTGTGAGCATGCACAAGACTGTCTGTTTACACAGCACTTCACAGAGTATATAACTCAGAAAGATGAACTTAAAAGAATCTTAAAGAAGTGCTAGAAAACCAAGGGTCTGCCTTATGAAGTACTGAACATGAAGGTGTTCTAGACATTTATTCTGCAGATGCCATCTGTGTGCTTCTCTGGTAGCCCTGGAGCTATACAAGAAACTGATTAGTATGTAGTCTGGCCTTGTTCTTCATCCAAATCAGCATCACCAACTCAACCAGTCACTTTATCCACCAGCTCTTATCATTTTGGCTTTTTATAAACAGAGTTTTCTAATTTTCTTAGTGAGGTGGATACTCTTAACAACTTTTCTCCGGTTCTAGTGGTAGCTTCTACACAGGTTATAATGTGAAAGAGTCCTAATCAATATAACCTGGTGGCAAAGAATTTTGAAGGGGCTGAGATTCCCTTGTGCATCTATATAGTCTCAGGCTGTTTCTTCCTTTCTAAAAGATTCCCTCTACATACAGCATCATGGTCTATTTTATGGCTCTCTCTAGTGTGCTAACTTCAGGCAAGTTTTTTTTTTAACCTTCCCAGATGAACTGGCTGTTCTGTAAAATGGGAATAATTCTAAATACTTGGAGTGATGATGGTATTATAAGGTCTCATTTCTAGAAAGTTCCTATCTTTGATAGGCTTGCTATCTGCAAGTATTTCCAAAAAGCAATGAGTTAAACTTGGATGTGAAAATATGGAAGAAAACTGGGATCTTTGTGTTCTAAGAAATCAGAGAACAAGATTTAGCTAAGACTTCCCTATTTATCATTTATAAAGGGAAACAATCAATAAACATTAACTGAGAAAAGAGAACAAAAACTTACATTTATCTTATACAGAATATCATAACGTTATTGACTGGGACACCCGGGGATACCTATTATCTGAACTAAGTAGTGTTAGGTTTGTCTCCAACACACAGTCTGTTTTACAGATGTACTCTGGAATGCGTGGTAGCCTTTATCTTTCAGATCCTCAATACCTCTGAGGAGCATCAAGCTATATCTTACCAGGCAAATGGAGAACATGTGGTTTGTTAGGGTATTACAGACACATCAGGTTAGACAAGGGGGTCCTTAGAACACCTCAGGCTGAAACAGCCTTCACATCTGTCTGATCTTTGAGTTAAGTAAAAGCTATGCTGAAGGAAGTCAGAAGCAACAATGGGAAGACCTTCAAATCCTGAATCTGGAGAGACAAAGGCTTGAACCCAACTCCTGTCTGCTCAGCTCCTTCGACCCAAGAGACATTCCATATAACAGATGAGGATGCTGGATGCTACTGAGTGACTTCTGGCTGGGAGCAGAAACCCATCTCCTAGAAAGAGGGGAGTCTCATCATCAGTCACAGAGCTTAGACCTCAGCTACAATCAACTATCTGTAAATAACAACAACAACAAAAACCCCACAATTGCTGCCCCTAAAAGTCAAAATAATACACGTCAGGAACCTTAGCTTCAATGTTTGTCCTTACCCTTAATCATACAACACAGAATTAATCTTCCTGTTTCTAAATTATCACTTCTTGGTTTTGACCTCTCATTAAAGCATTTAGTGATTTATCATGAACATGTACACATACTACATGCCAGACCACGTTCTAAGAGTTTTGCAAGTATTAGCTCATTTTAATTTTACTAACATGAGGTCACTGGTGGCTCAAACAAAAGCTGTTTCAGTAAAATGGCTAGGAGAGAATGAGAGCAGAGGGACTAGGGAAATAGATGACTTGAGGAATTTTGTTCTAAAGGAGAGAATATAAATGGGATGAAGTGGATGTGTCTTTTTAAAAGGTGGCATTTATTTATGTGGGTGTGCATGCATATGTACACGTGGAGAAGAGGACAACTTGCAGTAGTAGGGTCTTTCCTTCCACCACCACCATGTGGGTCTCAAGAGATTGAACTCAGGTCATCAGACTTGGCAGCAAGTGCCTTTACCCGCTGAGCCCTCTCCCTAGCCCATGCTTTGTCCTTACTGTTTGGGAGTCAACTATATCATGTTGGTATGCAATTTAGAAAGTGCCAGCAGAGGAGGAGAAACAAAGACTGGGTGAGGCTTATGCTTTCGCATCTCTGTGGAGCACTTCCTTGAGGACAGCATAACATGGCACTAAGAAGTACCTTCTCAACAAGGTGTTTCTCAAATTAAAATAAAATCATAATCCCTTCCCCACTCCTCTCTACTCTCTCTTCTGCTCTTTTTTTCAGGAAATCAGGATTGTTGTTTGATGTTGACTATTAAAATACTTTGTGGGACAAAGTCATCTGGACATGCAAAGCAACAAACAGTTTGTCCACAAGGGAGGGCACAGTAGACTGCAGACCTCCGTTGTTGACAGGTATGGAGAGGCACCTGGACTCTCTTCTGGCTTCCATTAGATGGGTATAAAACTCTGAGTTAGGAGTTTGAGACACTGCTTCACTACCTTCTCATTTCCAAAGTTGTAAAATCTTAGGCACCACTGATTCTTAACCTTTGCACAGGAACTACTTTAATTCTATCTCTTGGGCTTGGCATTTTCTTTCTTTCTTTCTTTTTTTTTTTTTTAAATAAACACTTTTTGAAATAGATCCACATATAAAAATAAGGACACAGCACATCAAATTTTAAAGAAAACAACTTGACACCAAAATCTGCCACCTAACCCAGGGATCAGTAACCTACAGTGATAAGACCCAGTATGGCCTGCTGTTGGAAGTCAATCTCAGCATTAGCTTATCTACAGTAATGAGAAAGTTAGAGTCCAGCTGCAATGATGGCCACATGGCCTCCAACATGGTATCCAGTACTTGATACTCTACAGAAGAGACAGCTGGACCCTAATCCAGTTGAGGACTAAAGAGGGGTTAGGGTACATCTCATCAATGGAGGGCTTCCTCGGCATGCTGGGTTCGTTCACATTTAAACATTAATTCATTTGGAATTTATTCTTGCACAAATGAAACAGACACTGTCTTCTTTTCCTTCCCCAGGTAGACAGCTAATACTAAAATGTCTGCTTAATTTTGACAGACAGCCTCCTTTTGTTACTTATAGTCTTTGTATACACGCGGGCTGTTTCTGGGCCTCTATTCTGTGCCATTACCATGCCTATATTCTCACAATGCAACCACTACCACAGCAGATCAGTGGATACAGCGTTACAGAAAGTTTTACTAAAGCAAGCTATCACAATCCATTCATTTTCTTCAAGTATGTTTTTGGTTCTTTCTTTTGGCTTTTCCATATTCATTTTAGAATCAGCCTGTGATTCTGAAAAGATTCTGTCTCAAAAAAAAAAAGTTGACAGAGCTTGAAATAGAGACCCAAGGATACTCTCTGGACTATAGACACAGGTGTATGTGAACACACACAAAAATACGAACTTACACCAGTGACTAGATGAAATCATATCAGTATTTACTATGAAGTGATTTCAATTTTCTGGAATGCTTACTTGAGAACTTTCATAATAAGATTAATTAACCATACTTATCAGATGAAAAAAATAAAATGTAAATAAGAAAAAATTATGTTAAACACACAATAAAAGTTAATATTAATACACAAAGGACTCACTCTAACTTATGAGAAAAAACTCAGGTTAGGCATAGTGGCCCACACTTGACTCTCAGGCTGAAGTAGGAGGATTGCCAGCCAATGAATTTGAGGCCAGTCTGGGCTACATAATGAGTTCAAGGCCAGTTTGTATTATAAAGCAACAACCCTATCTCAAACAGACAAAAACAGTGTTTGAGAGATGAGTTGGTGGGTAAAGTACCTGCCATATTAGTGTGAGGATTGGAGTTCAGATCTCCTAATCCCACACAGAAAAGCTGGGTGGGGTAGTAGCTCTCCAGTCATCTCAGTAGGGAGCAAGATAAGACAGGGAGTCCCTGGCTAAACAAGATGGCTGAAACATCAAGTGCCAGGTTCAATAAGAGACATCGCCTCAACATATGAGGTAGAGGACACCACCTAGCAACCACCTTGGGCCTCTACATGCATGTGAACACACATGCATGGGCACCCGCACATACATATTCACTTCAAAACATGCAAACACACAGATCACACGTTTTAAAAATCCCAGAAAATAGAACAAATCATCAAAAACTCTTCAAGTTAAGTGGGAAAAGATATTAACAAAATATACACAGGAAATAAACTCATGGAAAATAGTTGCCTCTAACCAAAGATATCAAAATTAAAACTTATCATATCATTTCATAACTATTTTTATTGTAAGATTAAAATGTACCACAAGCACATTGACAATACATAAAAAGACACAGACAATTCTAGCAAAGGCTGTAGGGAAAGTGGTTCACTTGTATACAGATGACAACATTCCCTGTACAGAGGCCCAGCCTTCTGGGGAAACAATCTGGCAGCTGCCAATTACTGATGATTATCAAAGCCTTTGACCAGAGGTCCCACTGCTTATCATATTTATTATTTACAAAGCCCCCCTATACATTTGGGCTGTTCAATCAAAAGGAGCTCAAAGATGTTTGCTGCAGTTTCAACTACTAGAGGATTTATTTATGAACAACCTAAATGACCATCAAGAGAAGAAAACTTCAGTAAACCATGACTACATCACTAAAATGGAATATGGCGCCAACATTTTAAAGAAATCACAAAAATAAACTTAGGTGGAGATAGGCACAATGTTCATAATGCACAATCAAGAGGAAAACTATTTATAATTGATCATGAGACTGCAAGAATAAATGAAATGGGCTTTGACACTGTAAAGGCACATGAATAATTAATGATGGTGATGTATTACCATATGAGGGGAATGTGGCTGATTCGTTTTCCTAAAATTTTCTTTAATCTTGCCGATACATCTCTCAATTAAAATTAGATGACTGCAAAGCCGTCTCGGGACGGTCTACTCACAGTGCTGAGCTTGCTGCAGATGAGGAGGATCCGGCGTTCATACAGCATGCTGGCGTACAGATGCAACATGTTGTTCACATCCACAGCCACAAAATATTCTGTCAGATTTCTCTAGGAGAAAGAAGAAAGCAAGGCTTGTGGCTTATTTTATTTGTTCTTATTACGAATAGTATCTCATAAAAGCAGGAGAAAGGGCAAATAATCAGAAGGCATAAGCTCTTCTTCCTTTGTCCCACTCTTTCTACCTGGGAGCCCAAGCTCCACTCACGTATGAAATCATGAAATGCAAAGTTCAAAGAGGCCTTGGAGATGAGCACCCCGAGCAACTGCACCCTTGTGTAGTGATTATGGGTTACAACTTGAGGTCATATATAGCACCGTGTTTGCTTTTCATGTTGCTCCAAAGGATGAGAAGCACAGGAACTCTGCTATCTCAAAAACCAGGAGACTCAGTTTGAAGGAGATTCTCCAAGATCAAATGGCCTAATAAGCAACGAAGACAGGACTCTCCTCTGATCTTCCGATCCAAGGCCCGAGAACTTTTCTGAGATACTGTGCCATACATCCTGGCAAAACAAAGTGCCCAAGCTTCTGACACAAGGCCTGCTTCTACCCAGTAGATCCTAGCACAAAAGCAGGGCCTCAACCTTTCTGCCAGTATCCATAGCATACACTCCCCAAAACGACTCTGCTAGAATTAAAACAATTTCAAAGACTTACAACTCCCAAGCATTTGACACAAAAGGGGGGGGGGGGGGAGAGGAAATGTAGATAAATAGCAGCAAGTTGTGACAAGTGCGGTGTTTTAACCAGTTTTTGTTTCTCCCCTGTAACCTGGGTTTTGTGGTGGTATTGTGTTCCCCAAAATATTGTACACTCTAATAAACTTATCTGGGGTCAGAGAACAGAACAGCCACAATATTAAACATAGAGGTTAGGCAGTAGTAGCACATGCCTTTAATCCTAGCATTCCAGAGGCAGAGATCCGCCTGGATCTCTGTGAGTTCAAGGCCACACTGGAAACAGCCAAGCATGGTGACTCACGCCTTTAATCCCAGGAAGTAATGGCAGGAGGCCAAAAGGTATTTAAGGTGTGAGGATGAGGAACTATAGCCTGGTTAAGCTTTTAGGTTTTTGAGCAGCAGTTCAGCTGAGATTCATTCTGGATGAGGACTCAGAGGCTTCCAGTCTGAGGAAACAGGATCAGCTGAGGAATTGGCAAGGCAAGGTGGCTGTGGCTTGTTCTGCTTCTCTGATCTTCCAGCATTCATCCCAATACCTAGCTCAAGGTTTGATTTTATTAATAAGACCTTTTAAGATTCGTGCTACAGGGTTTCATTCTTTTAATTAGCATTATAGATTAGGACTCTTCAAATTTCAGCAGGGAAATGGAGAGCATTTCATTTCTACAACTCTTTCTACGTCCACCTGACATTAATAATATACACGTATGCTAATTTCTTCAATGTTACAGGTTTTCAATGCTGTTCAATATAATTCTCAGGAAATGAAAGGAGGTAAGGAATGCTGTTGCCATGAGTAGCAGTTTATCATAATTAAAGATCTACAACACATAATTTAAGTAAACTAGTAGATTTTATATGGAAAATGGCATAAAGTGCTTTTCAACAATATTATGGTTGAAGATAAACAAGAACGGGCATTTATCTCATGATTTATTACTGTTTGACCAGAGTATTAGGCTAACCATCAAAATTCACAAATAAAGGGCAAGTGGAATGATAGTTCTATACACTGACTACTCCCCTACATTGTGCCTCCTAGATATTGTTCACTCCCTTTCCTTTTTCTTTCTTTCTTTTTTTTTTTCTCGAGACAGGGTTTCTTTGTGTAGCTTTTGCGCCTTTCCTGGATCTCGCTCTGTACACCAGGCTGGCCTCGAACTCACAAAGATCCGCCTGCCTCTACCTCCTGAGTGCTGGGATTAAAGGCATGTGCCACCACCGCCCGGCGTTCACTCACTTTCTACCATGATAAGGCTTTACACAGGTCACCTTGCTTAACCTTAAATCCATTCCTTGAACTAGATGTCATTTTCTCTATTTAAAGATGTAAAACAGAGGCACAGAAAAGTGATATAATGTGACAAAGGTCACATGCTAAGTGGACAACAGACTATTCAGTCTAGGGTTTAAAAATATAACACTTTAAAGTATAAGTTAAAATATCATATTCAACAAAATATTGAGTGTAGGGGAAACAAGAGGAAATTGTTGCCCTATTTATAGAGGAATCCTTATATGCTAGGCCAAGTGTGCTTTATCTGTGTTCTTTGTATTCCTCCTAATAACCTTTAGGTAGATACTGCCATGTCTACATGGAGAAACTACAGCTTAGAAAGCACCAGCTGCTTCTAAAGATCACCCAGTTAGAAAGGGCAGAGCCAAGAGCAGGTCTCTCGAATCTGAAGCTTATCTGTTAACTGCCAAACCAGCCTGCCTCCTAACAGACTCCACGGAAAAATAAAAAGGAGCACTAAGGGTGGATGGAAGTGGGGAAGAAGCACTTCCCTGCCCAGTGGACTGAGGAGCGCTGAGCTAATGATGTCAGGGTGGGGCTTGTGCTGGAGACAGTGACATGGCAGAGCTGCTCTCACAAATCAACAGGAGGCCCTCAGCTGAGCGTTTCAGAAAGAGCTTAACTGCTGATGAATTATACCAATTTTTCTTTTAGAAGAGGATGGAAGTAACAAGAAAATAGAAATGAGGAGCTTAAAGAAGGCCAGAAAGCCCATTAGCACTTTTGACAGATCCAAAGATAACTCTGAAGCCACCAAAACGTGGCCTCAAGAGTCTGCCAAGAAGCTTCACGCTGAGGAGAAATATGTTACACAGCTTGCCGTCCAAATAGGGAGACACAGCGTCAGAGACAAATCCTGTGCCTTATTTTGGTGGGAGAAAAAAACCCACAAGGATACTTTTGTGGAGGGGGAAGGGTGTGTTTCTGAAATAAGACACCATTTGACTGAGGCAGACCCCATTCCCAGTCAAGATCAGAGTGACTCAGGTGCTTCATCCAAAAACTCTACACAGGTATGTTAAAAATATGTAACATTTAGCCAAATTCTTTCTAAACTGTCATGTACTTTTTTTGGTATTTCTCATCCCATCTGTGCTGATCACCAAGATATTTGTGTCTAAACAGAAGCTGTCTTTCTTATCTGCTTCCTCCCTGCCTCTTTCCTTCTGGGATGCCACCCGCCAGAGTGGGAGGGAGTGCCAACTGCCCCAACCCAGAAACTTCTTGGATGGGGAGCACCTGCAGGGCAGAGGGGCCCTGGTTCACTCTTAGTTCCTGCCAAGCTTGGGCTCAGAGAAAGCTCCCTGGAGACAGGGAGCTCCCTCTTGCTGTTAAGTGTCCAATAGCTTGAGCTCCATGGTAAACTTTAACTTCACAGACTTGCCCTGCCATTTTCCACCCCCAGGCCTTTACTTCCTCCCAGAATATTCTTCTCTGCTCTAAACATGTTCATTTATTTGACAAGACCCAGCCCAGTGTCACCTCCTCCTGGAAGGGCTCTTGGACTCCACTGCCAAACATTCATTTGTGTTTCCATGGCAATTTGTCCCTATCTAATAGCGACTCAGATTTAAGTTTGTTTTTCTACTAGGCTGAGTACCTTTGAGTAAATTACAAATCCCAACACCTAGCAGTTTGTTGAAAGAATAAATCTACGATGTGTGGAGGAAACAAGTGGCTGAAGACTACCTGTCCCTTGGCTCTGGTGTGAGCCAAGCACAGGAGAATGGTCCAACAGACAGTGTGGCATATCAGGAAGCAAAACAGCACCTGATAGAATATCAGGGTATGAGTCAGATGAGGTGACCAGTGACTTAGTGCTGGTGAAGGGCCCACAGAAAAGAAGACAGGATCACATTTGTGTTTCATAAAGATCTCCTTGAGACTGGAGAGATGGCTCAGCAGTTAAGAGGTCTGGATACTCTTCCAGAGGATCCAGGTTCAATTCCCAGCATCCACATGACAGCTCACAACTGTCTGTAACTCCAGTTTCAGAGGATCTGACAGCCTTTTCTGGCTTCTGTGGACAACACACACACACACACACACACACACACACACACACACACACACACACACACACTACACAGACGTACATACAGACAAAACAGCTATACATGTAATACAAAAATTTTAAAAAGATCTCCCCAAACCCATGGAAGATGGGAGACCCTATTAACCACTTAACTGGTTACTGCCACATTCTGGGGGCAGAGGGGAGGATCCAAACATGTAAATAATTCAGAAGAAAGCTTTAGGGATACATGTGAAAAACACTCTTAACCACAGGACTTGGCAAAGAATTAGACTTGGACAAGGGAGAAGAAAGGCTCTCTGGGTCTATAGCCACTGCAAGGTTCTGTGCATCACATCTTCTGTTTGTCCCGACATAGTGTCTGTTTGTTTAAGAGTGTCAGTCCTCCTAAACAACCACCATTCCTGTTGAACACGGCATTTCTGCTGCCTGTTCCTCAGCTTTGGATCTTGGACCATTGCAACCCCATCACAGCTAAGCCTGAGTACCCACCCCTTCATCCTCTGCCAGTTACTGCTAGGTAATTCACATGCCAGGAAAGGAGAACCTTGCTTAGAGGACTGTTTCTGGGCTCTGGTCTTAGTATATGTAGTGCCAGTGTGATTCTAAGCTTAAGGACACTCCTTTCCTTGCTTGGACTTTATTACACACCCTCCACCTCACCCATCGCTTGTAGGGCTGGACAGCAGGGATATGAAGGTGCCCATTTTCCAGTCTGGCCAGAAATCAAATCTAAGGAGGACTCCAGACAGCACAGCATGGAAGGTGAATTTCAGAGGAGGTATGTGCTGCAGCAAGTTCTTGAAGTTAGCTTCCATTTGTCATCTGTACAAAAAAATGCTGGTGAAAGTCTCAGTCCGGACAAAGAGGGGAGCAGTACCTGGCAAAGCCCATGCTCCTGCAGAGCACCTCCTAACAGCTATTCCTCCCTTGCTCCCTGTTGGCTCCAGCACCGGCCTAAGTGGCTGGGGACTTCCCACTCACTGTGATCCATGCCTGAGGTTATGAAGCAGGTGGAAGTCAGGGGTGGGGCTGG